TTGTTTTTATTTGTGAATTATTTGAGATATATTGTTTGAAGTTAATATGTATAGTTCTATAAATAGTATTATATGTGTGCCCAGTTCTGAGGACACTTATGTTCAGCTTGAGTAGAGACTGCTAAATATTCTAACAAAGTAATTGTAGCAATTTATGCCACCATCGGTAGTGAATGAGAGTTTTAATTGCTACACATACACTGACACTTGCTATTTTCCCATTTTTTTCATTTTGCCTATCCTTTGATTATGAAATATTATCACACACTGGTTTTAATAAGTATTTCCCTGATTACTACTATAGTCAGTTATCATTTGGATATCCTTTTTTGTGAATTGTTTGTTCAAATCTTTTGAATTTTATTCTGTTATATTACTTTTGTCTTACTGATTTTTTGTTATATTTGTTATTGTTGTATATCCAACCTGGCCGAAACTTTTGTCATATATATATATATATATATATATTCCCACTAAATGATTTGACTTTTTATTATCTTAGTGGTGTCTTAACATACAGATGTTCTTCACTAGAGTCTATTCCTCTATAATTATTGCTATCAAGAATTTCTGAGGGACTGGTTTAAGAAAACCAGCATGCACTGAAGTCATCAAAATGTTTTCCTATATTTTCTTATGAAATATTTATTACTTTACCTTCCACATTGTGATGTGTAATCCATCTTGAATTGATGTTTGTATATAGTATAATGTAAAAGTGAAGAGGCATACATACATGATTTTTCTCTATGGCTCTACTGTTGATACAGGATTATTCACTGATAAGATCATTCTTTCTCCACTCCACTGTTTTACTGGGTGATCTTTGTCACAAATTTGTTCACTGTTTTTATTGATGTCTTTCTGGACTCTCTGATCTGATCCAATAATTGGTATTATTGTATTAACATCAGATTCTAATTATCATCATAGGTTTCCTCAAAAATCTTTATATATACACACCATCTTCATATTTTTAGCCATCTCCTTGTATGCTGGGCAACATACAAAAGAGTCACAGAGAATACAAATGGCATTGTTTTGCAAAAGGAAGTATTTCCCTTTATCTCTGTTGGGATCATAGGGTAAGGAGCTTCACCACCTCAGTCCTATCTGGGTTTAGTCTGGGTTTCAGCTTTGGCAAGAGCCAGTCTTTTTTCATCAGCCTCTGTCACCATGGTGTGACTCTCCTTGGCTTTTGATTAAGATCCTGGTTTATCTGGTGTCCTCAGCCTTGGAAACAGCTAGAAATTTAGTTTTCTTCACATCTGCAGCTTAGTTTTGTTCTCCCACTACATGTAATACTCCCCTCTCCCATTTTTTTGTGGAAAATGGCTATGGTTTGATGTCCACCAAACTTCCAACCATGTCACTCCAGCAGTATAAAAAAGCCAAAATAGCTATAGGTTTGTCTGTCAGCTAAGGAACTATTGCTTTCTGCCAACAGTCCAGGCTGTTCCTCAGTCTCTAGCTTTGTTCAATATTGGAATGTACCCCTGGGTGAACTGTGATTCAGATCCCTAGTGTCCGTTTACCAGTCCTTCTAGGGCTTAATCAGTCCCCTACCCTGGGCTCCTGCATCCTCCTCCTGACAGGTTTTGTTCTCTGAGCGCAGCAAGACTACAGGTTTACCTCTTTGTGTTTCTATGCATCCTCAGAATTCAGCACATGTGCTGTGGAACAAACTAGACAGAAGCAAGCAGAACAGTTAGAAGGCTAATATAGGCAGATGTTATGGTGGCCAGAATTAGGTTACTTATAGAGATGGATGGATATATATTAAAATGCAAAGATTTGATACAATTTTAGGATATGTAAGTGGTAACCATGGGGAATCTCATAAAGAAGTGAGAAAAAGAAGAGTCAAGAAAAGCAATGCCCATGCTCCCAGCTATGGCACTTGAGTGACTAATGGCAGTATGTGTTGTGATAGGGGACAAGTTAGGAGTGTAGGATTTGGGGTTGCCAGTCAGGAGGAAGAAAGGCTTCTCTACTCTCCCTGTACTTTGCTTTTGATTGCACTTTGCAAGGAAGATGAAGCCCCCATACCACTGAGGGTGTGTGTGTGCGCACATGCGTGTTTATGTATGTGCATGTATGCACATGACTTTAGCTTGACTACACTTGCTCACAAGAGCAGATGCTCTTCTGGCCTCTGTCCTTACTGCATGATTTTTAAATTAATGATACCTGTACAGAAGCTGTATATGAAGGATCTTCTGTTGCTTGATTGAGTCCTGTGTGCTGAATAAAAATACCATGTGGCACCCTACAAAGTCCATCCTGGACACCAAATACAAATTGCATGTGATTTCCTACAAGTCAGTTCTGAGCAAAATTAAGGGCCTGTGCTACGACCTTTCCCTGAGGGAGAAGTTGTGGGTCAGATTCAGCCAGCATTGTCATGAGAAAAGACATCCCCAAGGTCAGTGACTACTATGTGATTCACTATAAGCTCATCAACTTCTCACAGTAGCACAGAGATGAACTGCCACTCTTAATTTTTTGTATCACGTGGCCATCTCTTTGAAGCCTCCTGATAAGGCCTACGTTATTAATTCCTATAGTCAAGGAAAGTATGTGAATCTAGGCTACTGTAAACCTTAAATGAGTAATGTCAAGAGAATTGAACTGGTGAAAACCTAAGCTTTAGCTGAGATTGCTCACCTGGTTATATCCTCTGAGTCAGCTACTAATGGAATAATTTCTGTTGCCTATCTATGCTTTCTTTTAGCATCCTAATATGACTGTGTTCTCATAAAGGACTATTAAGATGCACATGTTAATTTCCTGGCAAAAAAAAAAAGTATTTTTATGTTCAGAAATAAAATTCAGGTAGCCATTCAAAATCTTCTGCCCTATCCCAAAAGCCATCATTCAACCCCCCTAGACCAACAAGTGTCCTAGGGCTCTTATGAAGTAAGACTTTCATTTATTCAGTTTGTAATGAATTAATAAATGAATGAGCATTGAAGGCTTTCTCTTCATTGCTGATTTTTTCTCTCACATCTTGCTTTGTTAAAGTTATCCTTCATGTAAGCATTTCAGGAGAGAACCTGTGATTGGAACTGGGTCTTAATGTGGGAGGCTGAAAGGGTACAAAGTGGTGTATAAAGAGCAGAGAAAATGGGTGGCTGATTGTTAGTGATTTGACCAATGCCTCACAGCAATGCCTTTTAAATGCTCCATTCCTACTGGAAGTTATGAATATGACTAATGAGAAAAACCTCATTAAGAAACCATCTTAACCCACTCAGATTCCATTGGTGGGTTCTATTCATAATAGTAAGAATGAACTACTAAAAGTATCAGGGCTATTTAGGTAATGGCAAGGTCTTTCTTTCACTGATAGATTGTAACAATCCCAGGAGGTATTAACTTTCTAATTCTGAATGCATGGTGAGGTTCCAAGAGTTGGCACATCTGTATCGCCAGGGTCTCTGTCCGGGGAAGCCCTTGCTGATCATTCTAGCATGAGTAGAGTTGGCTTCCAGTTCAAGTCCAGTTCTTCTGAAAATGGGCTGCTGTTTTACTGTCTTGGTGTTACAGGCTTCCTCATGCTGCTGACTTCAGAGCTTTATTGCAAGCACTCTGTGAAACTGGTGATTCATTAATTGCCAAGGACTGGCTGAGTTCATTCCTACCACATTGGCTGCCTGCATAATACATATTCATTCTCTTTCTCAGTCTCCCTCACTCTGTCTCATCTCCAAAGTCTCATTTTTATTAAAATATAAATATGTTCTTTTATTTTTTGAAAGGCTTGCTTCTACCAATTTTACCTGCTCTTCAGGGTTTGGGTTCTTCACAAGCTATGAGAAGGTAACATGGAGACCAAACCTTAGAAAAACCTCCTCTCCTCCTTGATAAGGACATTACTTTCATTAAAAGTGATTGCAGATATCAGTAAAATAAAGCACCTCATTACAGTAGAGTCAGGCTTGTCCCATATACAAGCTTCATTTAATTAATTATTAAAGGTTAAGACATTTAGAGAAAATTTTAGCAGCTTTAGATTAAAGTCAGAGTGGTTAGGATTCCTATTTAAATGGTTTTAGCTATTGTGTTGTTTCAAGAACTCCATTTGGAGAGGTAAACTAAGATGTGAGGTGGGAAGCCCTGGACTAAGAGTCAGGAGGCTTGTTTCATATTCCTCTGCTGTTACCTGGCTCTGGGACCTCAAATATGGCACTTCCTGTAAATAAGGAGGTAAAAATACCGTTTCCCAAGTTGGTTGTGAGGAATCCATAGCTATTTGAATTGCTGTGATGGGGAGGGCTTAACTCTCTGTAGAGGTCCCATGAATATTTGTTTCAGTATCTATGTCAGTGTTTTCTAAGAAAGTTTGTTCAGGAGGTTTCTGTGAGCCAGAAAGTTTCATGGGATGCCAATGGTCATGATTTGCCAGCATGGTGCGGGATATTCTTTTTAGGCTGGGAGATGATCATCAGATCAATGTAAATAAATGACTTAGTTTTGATTTGTCCCCTTTTGGGGCAAGTTGCCTAACTTTTCCTGGGCATTTAATTTCCCCATCTGGGCTGTATGCACAATACTGCAGAGTCCAGTGTGGCACAGGCTCTGACGGAGACTGTTTATGCTTGAATCTCAGCTCTGCTACTTACTAAATAAATGGTAACCTGGGACAATTTACTGAAACTTCTCTGTGTATGTTTCCTTATCTGTAAGATAAGCATAATGATAATAGCCACCTCATAAAATCTTCAAGAGACTGACATGAATCAACACATGGAAAATGCCCTATCACAGGGCCTACTGCATGATACATGCTCAATTTATGTTAACTGGGATGATTTTTATTTCTTCCGAGCCTTCACTTCAGTGAAATCACCAGTCCTGGAAATTGGAATGAGTGTACTGTTAACACAGTGTTAATGCCATGACAGTTCTCTGAAGAAAAAGGAAACCTGTCTAATACTCCCAGTTTTGTTTTACTTGATTTTTTTTTTTTCCTTTTTCTTTCCCCTGATTCCTCTCAGTGGCAGAGCAACAACAATACCAGAGACTAAGAAGGAAAGGGCTACCCGGTGCCCCCTGTCCTCTGCGGTCCACTGGGTTTCCTTTCGCAGAAATGTCACGCATTTCCTCAGGAGCCACACAGCTGTGAGCACAGCAGTTTTTCCAGAACCAGAGGCAGCAGGTTTCTGCTTCCCTTATGGCGGACCCATGTTCTCACTCAGGAGCAAGCATTTCTTCATCCACACAGAAGTGCATGGCCTCCCTTCCTGTTTCAACAGCTCCCACCCCAGGCTCAGAGCCAGTCAAGACAAGTAGGGATGCTGCATGGAGTGAGTCAGAGTGCCTCTCGGAGACCAAGGCTTTGGCCTGGACTGTGACTTCAGCTGTGACTCTTTCCTAACAAACCACGGCATTGGAGGAAATAAGAAGATGCACCCTACAGAGTGTAATATCGTCACAAAGGCAAAGGTTGAGAGGAAGTTGCCATTTTTCCTTCCTATTTGCCACTCGAAGATCTGTCTCCCTGAATCCTTGTTGGAGTTATTGGTCTCCTGGCTTTATACTTATACCCTGGTATTTGAGTGCATATACTGGTGCTCACAGCGTTCGTTTGAAGATAGTGGTTCTCCAGTTCTCTAGCTGTGTGATTTGGAGCATTCAGTTAATCTCTTGGAGCCTCAAATTCCTCATCTGTATGGTGTGAGTAGTGTGCCTTCCCTTCTTGCTTGGTCAGATAAACTTTCACCTTTGTAAATCTGCAACCTGCATGTCCCAGAGCTGGGCAGGAGTCTTACATGTTATCTAATACAGCTTTTGTCTGCACCTGATGACTGGACCCTCACCAGCTTCCTGGACAAATGACCCTCCAGCTTCAGACTGAGGTGTGACTGGCAGGGGAGCTGCCCTCTTCAGGAGCTCTGATTAGAAAGTTCTTTCTTGGATGGGCTGAGATCTGAACCTCCCAGTAACCTTTACCTGCTGGGTTCTGTTTCATCTCTGGATCTAACAATACACTTAATCTCAAAGGTGTTCTGTATGTTGAAGATGACTGCAAAAATACCGTCGCAATTTTTTTAACTGGCCGTCATCTTTTCAGCCCCTGTGGGATTCTGGTTTGGATGGACTGCATGAAACAGGACATGGTGCCAGGCATTCCTGAATGTTCTTAAGGGTCCTTGTGACATCAGTTATAAAACCTTCTCTGATGATCCCTGGAGGCAGGTGTGATTGTTACTAATGGTAGGTGTCCCCACACATAGTGGCTATGTGCAAATCCTAGAGCCATAATTGGAAAAGAGTATTTCTTAACATGCTTTAAATTATTTAACTTGGAGGTAATTTCCTTCTATATCACCTTGAGTCATTTGTTATCCTGAAAAATAATAGATATATCAAATTTTAGTAGAAAAAGAAACCTAGAAAAAAGATCTAAAGAATAAAATGAAAGCATTTGTAACCAATGTATTTGTAAAAAATAAAATTATATTTTTATACCTTGTTTGTGTTTCCATATATATAACTATGTGTTTATGTATAATTGTTGGAATTATGCAATACATGTGGTTCTGTAATTTTGCATTTTGCTCTCCTATTGACCATTTTACTTACTGTCTTTTCCTATGCCATTACCCATTATTTATAAGTATTATTGTTAGGAAGGAAAGGACTCGGCTTGGTGTCCCAGGGAAGTCAGATACAGTGAGATGAGAGACCAAAGTCAAGAAAGCAAAGTAAGTTTCAATACACTCTGCACAGAGTAGCAGAGCAGGCCTGCCTAAGATAGGACAGGCAGGCGTGGATGCTCATTCTGAGGCTACTTTTATGTGGTTTCAGCAAGGCAGACAGGTCCTTGATTGACAGCTGTCAGCTCTCTAGGCTTGATCTGATTGGTGAAATGGGGACAGGGGCTGTGCTGTGCCTGTGCCTCTCATATTTCTTATCTGGGGGAGTGGGGGGGATCCTGGACATTTCCTGAGTCATCCCTGGACCCTGTGGCTTTATCTGATTAACTCTGAGTAATTTCTGGCTTTCTGGCTCTATTTGATCAGCTTCCTGAGTAATCTTTGGGGGGCCCTTTCTCCTTTCCATCAGCTCATTTCTGTTTTTCTGCCTAACATTATGATTATAATGGTTGTATTATCATACTCTATTGAATAATAGGCTGTAATTTACTTAATAAACCCTCTATTTTAATCCCTAATTTGTAGCCAATTTTCAGGAGCCTCAGGGCTATTCTTTTGAGAAATGAAATATGAGAGATGGCAACACCTGTACATTTCCATGGCAGGAAATATAGAAAAGATTTTCTTTTCCAAGTGTTGGGGTAAACCCTTCACCTCTTGCTTTTCCTAAGTGGGCAGAGTTAATAGGACATGAAAACCAAATCCTATTGGAGCTGGAAACTGAAGATCAGGTCAGGTGTAAGTAAGTACACACTTACAAATTCAAAATTAAAATACTGTGCTGGTGATTTGTGTGACCAAAAAGAGGTTTGGGTTTGTTTCATTTACTGATACCAGTTGGACCCACCAAAGGCTTGAGCTTCCTCTTCCCTGGATATCAAGGAAACCCCGGCAATTCAAGTACCAAGAAATTGCTGTCTTTCAGTGTCAGGAAGAAAATTTCAGTGCACTTGAACCCAGAACTGGAAACCAAAGAATCCCAGATATGTGTTGAATTAACATAATTTTGGGCTCTCTTGTTTCGTAGAGCATAGCCCTGGCAGCATGCAGACCTCACTCACATATGATCAGATGACTCACCTGGGGTCAGTATCCTATTCTTCTGCAGACTTAACAGAACCAGTTGCCAAAATAGGGAAATAGATACCTGTCATCTGTATTTTTTACAAACTCCTCCAGTGAATTTTGTCAGGTAAATTTAAGAAATAGATCGTGATCCAAACACACAAAATGTCTAGGCCATCCACTTAGCTCAAAAGCAGTTGCCATATTTTGTCTCCATACCAATATTTCCAATAAGTCTTTGCATCTTAGATATTGGGTGTTACTTGAAGAATTATTTCATCTTTGATGATTATCCAAATCTCATTTGGAAAGAAGTAGCTTCATAACCTCGTAGCAAGGATGATGGAAGAACTTTTTCCAGTACAGAAGTGATCACTTTGAAAAAAGCATGCACCTCTCCCCAGAGACACTCAACTGATAGAAAACCAGCTGCATCCTTCCATCACGGGCCAGTATCCCCCTCATGGAATGGATAAAAACTGTGTGGTCAACTATGGGCCTGGCTGATTTGAGGGGGTGGCATATGGTTGACTGTTAAACCAAAATAAAATCAAACAAAGTTCTCGTTGCTTAGCCTCAATGGAATTTCAAAGGCCACACAAAAGTGTTGACTTCCCTGATGTCACACGTTTCTGTTTGCACAGATGAGAAACTGATAATCATGTAAGCTTGTGCCTATAAGAAAGGATAAGAAGTCACCTACGGAGGTGACCCAGTCCCAGTAGTGAGGGTGGCAGGTGGGCAGGTCCTCGTGGTGGTGGGATGCGGTAAAGAGGATGGAAGTTCTATATTCTCTTTTCCGAGATATAATGACAGTGACCAGGGAAAACAGATTTTTAAACTTCTAACTTTGGTCCTAACACAGACATAAAGAATAAGGAAGAATTATCTTATGAAAAAGTAGGGAAGGTGAAGGTGTGGGAAGTAGGAGTGGGAGAGAGGAATGACCAGTCTTTTCTACTCTCCAGATTAACAACAAAAAATCAGACATCTGGGTATCCAGACTGAGGTGTTGGATTTTGTGGGTGGGAGTTGTAGGCCCCTGGCTTCAAGCAGAGCAGGAGCCCCAGCAAAGCGAGGTTATTCCTCCACTGAAGCGTTGTCTCCTACAAAAAAAGCCGATGGACCTCATGGCCATCTGGAACATTAAGGAGATGAGAAGCGGATTTCTTAAGCAAGTGCCCAGTTCTCCCACAGAGGAGGAGAGAAGCAGAGATGGCTCTGATCATGCTGGGTCCACGAAACCCTTCACAAAAGCATCAGTGACTCTTGGAGTCTCAATCAAGCTCAGAGCAACACAGGTCTTGAAAACCTTTTTAGTAAAGGATGTAAGTTCTAAAGAAATGGAAAGCTTGGTGCTCTGGAGCAGGGCCTGAGGGAACAGACACATGTTTTCAGTAAGAGCAGAGCCATGGATCTCAACCAGCATGCACAGTCAGCACAGAGCAGACCAAATGTTCCCAAACAGGAAGACAGGAGCCTGAGGGACAAAAATTCCAGAGGCAGGACAAAGTGCATGGTCACAGGTCTCTCAAAAATGCAGATGATGGTCAGAAGTCACCTATCAAGAGGGTGAGGCCAGGAATAAGAAGTTCCTTCAACCTGAGTAGCCACTTGTTTTGTCCCAGGAGCCTTTGTTAACCTCCTAAGGCAGGGGTACCATTTGGGCCTTATGTGTGGTATTAGATAGAAGCATCCATGAGGGATAAGAGTGGAAGAGGGGGCACTCGTCTCCCTCTCCTAAAGTAAATACAGTTTGGCTTTCCCCCTCCTGGAAGCCCCACAGATGGTGGCAGAGTGAAGCCTCCTGTCTCCTAGAGTCTCAGCACTTAGCTTCCTTATGCTTGTGACCACGACATCCCATTGCCTCTCACACATGGGAGCCTTTCAGAAAAGTTCTGCTCAGTGGATGCTGGGTCTCTCCCCTCTTCCTCTGAGAAGTGCCTAGAAAGGAATGTGAAGAACAGGGGCAGCGGAAATCACTTCACAAAAAGACTAGACCTGCCTCCAAAGAACATTGACACATTGCTACATTTTTTTTTTCAATATGCTTTAGGAGAAAAGGGGAAAAGGTTAATATCTGAAAATCCTGACATCCTTTATTTTTCCTTCCTTTCTGTTTTTTTTGGGGGGATGGGTTTCAAACTCTAGAATGGGAACATCACAACTAAAATACTCATTTCATATTTCCTTGCAAACTTTTCCTCTTATTTTTTCTTTTGTGATTGTTGGGAACAATCCAAGAATAAAATCACTATACCAGTTGAATGCCTACTCAGGGCTGAAAATTTGGATGGGGACAGCCCCTTATAAGCCATAGAACTCTGGTCATTGATGGTAAAAGAGTCAGTGCTCCAATGTGATTACATTCACTGTGATAGTGCCTCATTCATGATGGCCAAAACCTCATGGCATTGTATGTCCGATCAGTCAATACAATAGAAAAGCTGTGCTTCCTCTCAGTCATCTCTGCCCACAGTGCTATCTCCCCTATTGTCAAATGAACAGTTTTGAGGGCTGGTGGCTGTGTGTGTTGTAGGATTTCCTATAGGTGGAGCCTCATGGCAGAAGTTTTGCAGACAAAGCACCTCCACACCTTGCCCCCACTCAAGGAAAGAACTGTGGCATTTCCTCTCTCTGCCTGGCTTAGCTGACTGTGAACCTTGCTTTCTCATAATCCCATTTTTTTTTAAATTATGAAAGCAACATGTAGTTGATACAGTAAATATCAGGCAATATCAATCATAAAATCTAATGTGACCATCACCTACATTCCACTGCCTCCTATAGAGAACCCACATTACCTAGTACATATTCTTCCAGTGTTCTTTGGATGCTTTCAGAAACAGAATGATTGTGTATGTGTTTATAAAAAAAAATGTTTAAACACACTGACACACACACACACAAATCAGTTCACATTATGCAACTTGCCTTTTATTTTCCTGATAATAGATTTGAGTAATTTTTTTCTTATAAGTTTATTTTGTTTTGCTTTGTTTTTTTAAGTTATAGATTTTATTTTTTTAGAGCAATTTTAGAGTCACAAAAGAATTGAGTGGAAAGAACAGAGAGCCTCCGCCCCATTCAACATCCCACAACACAGTACTGTTTTTTTAAATCTGAACCAGCATTAACACTTCATTACCAATGACAGTTTATATTAGGGAAAACTCATTAGGTTGTACACTCTATGGGTTTTATAAATATATAAGGACATACACCCCCTATTACAGTATCATGCAAGGTAGTTTCTCTGCCCTAAATTTAGTCTGTGCTCCACCTGTTCATCCCTTTTTCACCTGAATTTCTGGCAACCAGTGATCTTTTTTATTGTCTTCATAGTTTTGCCCATTCCAGAATGTCATGTAGTTGAAATCAGACATTATGTAGCCTTTGCAGACTGGCGTCTTTCAGTTAGCAATACACATCTAAGGGTCCTCTGTACCTTAAGGTGTCCTGATAGCTCATTTACTTTTAGTGCTGAAGAACATTCTCCTGTATGGATGTATTGTATGTACCACAATTTATTTGTCCATTCACTTCTTGAAGGATAACTCAGTTGCTTCCAAGTTCTGGCAATTATGAATAAGGCTGCAATAAACATTTGTGTGCAAGTTTTTATGTGACCTTGTTTTCAACTCATTTGGGTAAATACCAAGAATGTGATGGCTGAACTGTGTGATAAGAATGTGGTTAATTTCATGTTAAAAGACAAACACTCAAACTGTCTTTCAATGTGGATTGAACC